GGCCGCGGCCCGCCCGCCCCGCCGGTGTTGGGGCAGGCACGGCGGTCGTGGGACGGTGCCGGGAAAAGGAATTTTGAGCTTAAAAAGGATGCACAGACTGGGCTTGGGGTAGGGTTTTTGTTTTTTGGTTTTGGGTTGTTTTTTTTTTAGGGAGAAAACGATCATTTAAGTTTTGTCTGGAAACTGAGTGGGGGATATGGCTACTGGGGAAAAAAAAAACAACCAACCAAACCCAAAACCCAACCCACCAAAAGACCAAACACCACAAACCTTTACAAATTAATTTTAAGATAATCATCTCTTAGTGATTACGTAAGTTAAATAAGACTTTTCAAAGCAAACTGGAGGTGAAACTGCCAGTATTCTCGTGATTTATCTTTATGAATGTTTCGAGTGGGGCTTTGCACAGGTTGCCAACCATTATCCAGATATCCTGGATTTTTTTTTAAATGTACAAAATACCTGCACTTTTAGACAAGACCTGCAACTTAAAGAAAAAAACATTCTGCTACACCATAGTGTTGAGTGTAATCACAGATGGATTGACATAACCAGATACTTGCACTTTTAAAAATGCCTAGTTATGCCAAAATATTAAGTGGTGGTTGTTTTTTTTTTTTTTTTTTTTCAGGGGATTAGGATATTATCCAATTTTAAGGTCAAAATACAAGACTTAGGGGAGTGGTTTATACAGCCCTAAAAATGTATTGACTTTGGTTAAATACCTTGAGGCTAATTTACAAGAAAGAGGACTGCAAATCAGGGAGTTAAGATTATTGCAAAGGATTAGTGGGTATTTTTGTTTGTTTTGTTTTTAATTTTATTTTAATGCTATTTTTGGTAAGGTGATTGAGTTAATGTTCAATTATGTTTGATCAAAGTAAAACATTGAGCAGTTGTGCTGCTTGCCACAGAGAACTGCTAACTCAAGGAACCGTTGCCTTTCATAAAGGGTAACTCCGCCAGCTGGTGCTATATGGCTTTGATTTATTTTTTTGTTTGTTTTGTTAGTGAATAGTGTTTCAGTCTCAAGAAGTGATTTATTATATTGTCTCTTCCAGGTGTGCATATTGTTTATTCACAGGTGCCTAGAGAATCCTTGATTATTAAAAAAAAAATAAAAATCAAAGGTCTCTAAATAATTTTTCCTCACATAGACTAGAAATATATAAGCTAGAACTGTCACTGGGGGTTGGAAGTATTCCTTGGCATATAAAGAAGTTTAAGCCATGAATTTAGGTTGATTACTTAATCAAGATAGAAATGGAGCTTTTGGGTTCTTTTGCAACCCTTGAAAATTAAACTGATAAGACACCGTCTTCTGGACTTGACAGATGTTTACAGTTTCTCACTGCTGCTGCTGTTCCCAGTTTTTCCCAGTAGCAGTAGGGTTAAAATGACAGGACTCTGTCAGGTCACTGCTGTTGACTGTCTTATCACAGGGAAATTAAACTGTTTTGATAATATCACCTGGCCCTTGCAAAAGCTGCCAGCACCTTTGATCATGGGCACGGCAACAGCACTGAATAGAGGGATCCAAAAAAATCAGAACTGGGTAGTAATAGTGGATGAGGAGCAGCTGAGAGACTTGTAGAGGTTTCTCATCAAGATACAGTTATTACACCTTGTAAAAAACCCCGTTTTTGTTAAATTATGATGTAGTCTTGTGCCTATTTGATGGGCAAGTCCTCAAGTAACTATGAACAGGAATATCTAAGTTTTTCTTAATGCAGTGTCTCATTTAAGAATATTGTACCAAGATAACAGGAGGTTTATTAAAACTGATTTGACTATTTTATTTCCAGTTCGTCTGAAGATAAGCTCTATCAAATATGTCCTGTCTGTGATTGTGTCTTTTGATAGAAAATCTCATGTTGTTGATAATGGGGGAAAAAAAGTGGCAATCTGAGGGATTTGTGCTTTTTTCTGCATCTTGAGGGGGAGAAAAAGCCCAAAACTGTGAGAACTTGTTATTCTTATATTTGCTTTATACAGATGTCTCGCTTTACAAGTGAAGATGAAGCTCTGTTACAGTCTATGCTTAGACAGTTGCTGCAGAGTGTGAAGGAAAAAATCACTGGAGCCCCGTCAGTAGAATGTGCAGAAGAGATTCTCTTGCATTTGGAGGAAACAGATGAGAATTTTCACAAGTAAAAATATTTTTCCTATTTTTAATATTTTGAAGGAATTGAAATGTGTTGAACTATGTTAATCCTGGGAAATGTTTACAATTTAGACTGCTGTGTGAATGTGTATGTATTTATATATATAGATGTTCCTGTTGCTAATCAGCTCTCAAAAGATGCTAATTTAGAAAATAAAATTAATTTTGCCATTTTTCTGTGGGTTTTTTTGTCTTCTTTTTTTTACTCACGGTAATATGTTTTTACTGTAATAGTAATTGATGAAGCTATTTGTGAGAGAGGACCTTACAAAACTACCTAACTTAGCCAACTCTGATGTATGTGTACATATAATGTACTAAATGCATGCATGAACAGAGGCTAGAAGTCCTCACTGAAGGCTGTCGGGCAGTATTTTTGACACCTTCTAGAAATATATTTTTGTTTTTCAAAAGGCTGCTTGACTTCCATATTTGATTGTTCTGTCTGGCTTATATTACTGAACCCTTGTATAACTTATCGGGTAGTTGTTCTTTTAATTTCTGTTTTGAATAAAGCAGAAATGTATCCCCATCACACTTTTGTTAAATCTGACTTGACAGTATGACCTCACTTATATGTGACTAGATTTCTGGAGCCCACAGTCCTGTTTCTTTTCCATGGTATTCTAACTTTATTTTTTTACTACATGGGAGATTGTTAGTATGCATTTATGACAATTCAAGAGAATATCAAGCTGAAATGACCTTGAAGACATTTCAATGAAGATCAGAGTTCTGTGACCTGACTTCTGAGAAAGCTGGTTCCCTGCCACTTTTTTTCAGAAGTGGTGCTATCTACATTCTCTTAAATTTGTTTAATTTTTAGTATTGCTCTGTCAGTGGTAGAAGTTAGGTAAAAGTAAATAGGTGAAATAGAAATAGTGTTTATCTAAAATTTCACTATAATTTAAAAAATTTCATGCTTTTGTGTCTTCTGAAGATGCTAAATGTTCTAAAATGTATTTTAGCTTAATTTTGTCTTACAAATTGTATCAGATAACACTTTGGTTGGCAGACGTGAATTTTGAGCACCGAGAGTAAAAAAGTTGGTTATAAACATCTCAAAGTTGAAAATGACATGTAATTTTCAAAGAAAAATGTTTTCATTTAATGGAAGATATGTACAGGAAAAAAGCCCAAACAACCAAAACCCTATGAAATTACTTCTGTTGGTATTTCTTATTAGGACTTATTAGGAGAATACCTAGGATAAGGGAGTAAAGCCTGCAACTGGTGGAAAAAATGCATATATAGCCTTCCCCTTTAGAATAGTGAAACCATGTCATCCAGTACTGTTTCTGGTATGTTAAAGACTTGGTGATCCTCAAGATAACTTCTTTTCATGAGAAAGGCTTTAACTTACATTTAATGGAAAACCAAGTGATGCTTTAAATGCAGGATGTGAGCACTACTGTCCAGCACTGGAATATTTCTGGAGGTATTCTAGTCTTGTTCATGACCTGTGGCAGTATAGGTTGGTTTTCGTGGAAGGTCAGAGAGGTCATATGGTGATTTATTAGCGAGACCATTAAGAAGCTTTCTCTTTGACCTTTACCCCATCCATCCAGAACTGCAAGCTCCTTTATTAGTAGTGTGTACTTTTGGATTGTCCAATATACTAGTTCAGCTCAGCATTTTGATCAGCACTGTTTCTGCCTCATAGTTATTTTGCCTCAGTAGTTTTATCAGATTGAGGCCTTACTTTATCTTTGTTCCCACTTTGATGTAGAAAAGACAGAAACACAGGATCCTCAGGAACCTAATAAAAAGGAAAACTGAATCAAGTTCAAAGTTTAGGTGCAGTAGTAGAAATCAAGATTTTAAATTATATAAGTAGCGTGTTTTCTGTTGTATTTTTTCCTTAAATTGAAGTCCTAGAGATTTTTTTAACACCCCCCCCCACCCCGCTTCCTTTGTAATGCCAACGAGATCAGTCTGACTTGATTCTGCATGTGAAGAAGTTGTTCTGTCATTGCTGAAACACTTGTTACAAAGCATTTTTAAGGTGGAAGAATGATGCAGATGATCAAATCAAGGCTAGGACATCAAGTAGACATAAACTTAGTGGCATGAATAATGATGGGATTGCTATGTATTTTAGAGTGAAGCAGCCAATGCAAATATATATACCCTGGAAGTGTTACTGTCATAAAACAAATGGGAGAAAGTTTTATGAAAGCTTTCATTCAGTGGAGAGTCATGTGCAATTTCATTACTGCAGAAGTAAAAAGCCAGCCTTGAAGACAAATGAAAATGCAAATAAACATGTTTGCGTCTTGCTTGAGATGTATTTCTGTTACTTTCATTGAGAACAAAAGTGATATAGAAATGGAAATAAGGGGGGGAAGGACTGTTATACCTGATGGAACTTGAGGTAGGCAATCCAGTGAGGAAGTACGTATCGTGATACTAGACACAATTTTCTGTGTTTGTTTTTTTTTTTTACTGTATCTTGAATGTAGTCTGATTTTTATTTATTTATCTATTTATTAATATCCAAGAAAGACAAAAGCTGCTGCCTGTTGTAACAGTTGCTTTTATTTACATTTGTATTTTATAGCTTTGGACTCTGTACCTACATGGTGACTGACTTTTTAATTAGAATTTTTCTCACTCTGTATTTATTCAAATTAACACAAAGTAGTTGTACATCTGCATTTGATATAATGAAAATATAATGATGCATCTACTGTTTATGTATGATTACTTTTTTGTGTGTTTGCCTTGTCCTTTATACAAATCAGAATACTAAGCAAAAAATGTGTGTATATTCTGAGCACTAGTTTTTAGCAATTTGTATAGCTAATACAGAGTCTGAGGACCCAGTGAGAGTCTTTCGTTTGAAATCCCCCTCTGATTATTCTTTTGTTTAAATAAGTTTCTCTGAGTAATAATAAGAGCACAAAGTGCCAGTTTCCTTGTGTTTAACATGTACATGTAATCACAGGCAGCTAGTTTGTCAGTCTGAGTGAGATCTTCTGCATACTGTCATGACATAGACATGCTCATATGCTGGAATTTACAAATTGTTTTCTGTGTTTCTTCTCATTTTGTATGTATACTGCATAAATAATAATACCAGATGGATATACCATAAGACAGTGCTATGTTCAGGATGCTCCAAGTAATGTGTCTTTTGGAATTTTAAATTTGAGATTTCTTGATGATTTATTGATCTATGATTTTTGTCTATAAAACCTTAGCCTGGAATATGTTGATAATGACCATATTGAAGAAAATCAAACTTCATTGTTTTTTTTCGCACTGTTGAAGTTTATTTCTCTGCAAGTCACAAACCCTTAAAGTAAGAGGTCTGCTGTGACAGAAGACAGCAAATGTTAATATAACATTGAAAATGTTTGACGTGAGCTCAAGGCAATGTGTTACATTTTAATTTTGTGTATTTTTTGCAGCTATGAGTTTGTGAAATACCTTAGACAATATATAAATAATACTGTGGGATCTGTGATTGAAGAAGAAACAGAAAAATGTACTTCTACTCAAAGTCAGGGTGAAGTATCTGGCTATGACACGCTTGTCCAACATGTTACTAAGAAGACACGTGAATCAAAAGAGTGGGTATATACATGTAATTCATGTTTTTGTTTCTTTGTGGTCTTTGTCTTCCTTTCTCCTTTCCAGAACTTGTTCTGAAAAAATAAATTCTGAATCAATGGCTAACAAAAGTAATTCTTTGCTTTCAAAAATCAGTGCTAAGCAATTCATATATCCACACCCTACATTGTGGTTTGTCATGCTTTGTCTCACTCTGGAATTAAGATTATGAACGAATGCATAAAAAGATTAGTAGCAAATCTGTGAAGTTTTTGAGTTATCTAGGGCTGGAGTTGGGCAGGAGTTAAGATTTGAGAGAAGAATCACTACTTCATACTATTTCACTAGCTGCTAATTAAATTGACTTGTAATATGGAAGTTGGCCTGAAGAAAAAATTGGTTTTATCGGGTTTTAAAGTATGATGATTTCCTCAGATATAAATGGAGAGTCTGCATGACAATGTTTTCTAAAAAAAAAAAAAAAAAAGTAAAGAAAAAATAGAATTTTAGCCACTAAAATTATTTTATACACTACTTCAGCTGAACTATTTTTTTCACTAATTTTTACTGCACAATCATAATTTCATCCCCATCTCTCTTTTTAGTGGAACTAGGATTTTACTGTGATGCCTATTGTTTACTATGTGTCCTCAATAAGAAAGGAATTAAAAAATAGTGTATGTTTCTGTTCTAGGAGATTTTATTTTCTGTTTTCAAAAGGTTTCTCATCTAGAAGTACACAGAAATATGTTTTATGAACCATGCTTTTATAGGGTTCTTTTCTTGTCACGTGTCTGCAAGCATTCTGAACTCTGATAGAGCATTATTTGGTCTCACTGGGATGGTCTTGATATCATTTCAGGATCATTCAAAGTTCTGATTTTTGTTCATTGCAATTATTAATTTTCTGTGGTAGGTAATACGCTTAAAGGTATTTATGGAGAAAAATGTATTAAGGAATCTAACTCCTTAGTGGTACATTCTGTATTTTCATAGTACAGTCATTTATGTTAGAAAGCAGTTCTTAATCAATTACACCTGGCTATTATTTTCACCTAGAAAATATGTATTTGGATGACTGTTTTTCAATTACACTGTTTATGTACTTCTGTTTCAAGGATCAGGACCTTAGGGTTTTTGTGCTTGGTAAAGTTGGTAGAAGAAGCTCCAATGAACTAAATACGTCTGTATCTTAGATTTTTAATTTGAAATGTAGGAGGATATTAAAGCACAATATGGTCATAATTTGTGTCTTTGGTGACTGTAAAATAAGTAATAGTAGCCTTAAAGTAAAAAATAATTTGAAATGAAGTATCAACATTTTACAATAGGATGTTTTTCTGAAGCAGCTTTTATTTTGAATTGCTTCCTTGTGGATATTATTATTCAATTTATGTGACTTAGAAAAACACTGGTTTTGTTGAAAGAAAATTGTTTTGTGTGCATGATCTGTACTCAAGATCTTGAATCAGAATGATGTGTTCTCTTCTATTGGTTCTGCTCAAGGCTTATAGCAGAAAAAAATAATTGTATGTTGAACTTGAAGAAACATAAACAGTAACAAGGGTGAGAATTGTTTTTGCAGGAACAGATTTTCCCTCTTGATGGATTCACATTGTTCTTTCTTAAGAACCTCCCAGAACAGGATTATACTAGTGCTTGTAAAAGCATTGAATGCTTTTAGAAGGGCAAAAAGGAATGTTATTATACATTTAAAATATAGTTATCTGAATTTTTTAAGGTCCATACATGTTTTGTTGCTCATTTTGGATTTGCATTTGTTTTTCATTTATTTCTGTAAATCCAGTGAGTTTAGGTCTAAGTAGCGGTATGCCATATGCACTTTTTAACGATTTAGTGAACTTTTTTTAATCAGTGATTTTTATGCTATTTAATACTAAAATCATCTTTATTTTGAAGATACAAGGAAATGATACATGCCTTGAAGAATGTCATGATGGTTGTGGTAGAATCGTTGATTAACAAATTTGAAGAAGATCGGATGCGTAATAAGGAGCTGGATAGTAAAACCAAGAAAGAACGTCAGAGTGGCTTTTATACGGACAACTGTTCTGATAGTGACTCCTCATTCAACCAAGTACAATGTCTTTTCTCTATATGTTATGAAATAAGCATGGTACTACAATATTGTTAAGTTCCTGTCAGTGGAGACTGAGAAGCAGCCCTAGAAAGAGATTCATCCTGCCTATCTTTGATATATCCTAATATGAATTAATTACCTTTCTTTCACTCCAAAGTACCAAGCTTATACTAGCTGTCTACCCTTTAGGCAGCATATGCTAGATGAGATGAATTGGATGCCCATATGCTCTAAAGTACCTATGCAAGTAATGTATAGAAAAAGATAAAATAGTGGTAAAAGCAATACCTCATCTAACTTTTTGTGATTTTACTTTGGGAGCCAAATAATGTGCAGTTTGTTTCCAGACTACTGCACTATGCTGTATTACTTACTGAATGAATTATTATAAAGGATTTTATGAAGATACAGGAAACTTTTAAGTAAAGCAAAGCAACATATGTAACGAGAATTCTGTTGCTGTAAATTTAACTTGGGGCAAATGGCAGAAAACATTTAGAATCGTCACTTTAATGTTAAATTAGTATAAATATTGAAGTCCTAATTATTAAAGTAATTTAGATATCAGAAAGACTGATGATTTTAATCTTCTGCTGTTCAGTTTAATAAAATATTCTAATGATCATTTTATAATGTGTATTACAGAGCTACACGTTCATGAGTCAAGAACAGTTGCAACTGCTTGTTGAAAGGCTTGACCCTGTTCAGCCTAAGGAAGTAAGTTTCAAAGAAGAAATAAAATGTTAATACAAATGAATGTTTACGGCATATTGGAAAACAGACTCTCTGTACATAAGTGTTCATATGTACCTAAGTGGAATCTTGTCTTTGTTGGTTCATATATCTTTGGCTTCAGTACAGCAGCTGCTCTGCAGTGTAGTATTTCATTGTTCGTAACCATCTGGTTCAAAAGCTAGTGTTACAGCAAATATCTTTTTTTTTTTTTTTTTTTCCTGTTAGGAGTTTATGTGATATAGATGTGCATTTTTAGTTTGGAAAAAGTTGTTTTGTGAGGAATAAAGTTATTGAAGCTTATTTTCCTGTAAAAGTGCCCCTTGACCTTGGTAATTTCTGTGTTGTCCTTTGTGTTACCCCTATCAGAAGAGAGGTGCCTGCTGATTTGCCAAGTTGCTGCCAGATGGAATATATAAAGTCCAAGTTAGGTTTGCCTTCCTGTCAGTGGCACTACTAATTTGTGTTTCTAACCACCAATCAGCACCAGCTGCTGATATTTTGGAAGCTTGGAGAAACATCTTAAGAGTTCTGTCTCAGTAAGATTTGTTTGGGATTATCTGGCACTTGAAAAAGGCATGGTAGATGGGAGCTATTATAAACATTGTAATCAAATTTTCTGAGAAAACCAGGTAAAAAGTCTGATGCTATTAAGTACAGTTAAAATTTCCTACAGTTTGTTTCAGTAATACAAAATAAATTACTAGAGATTACAGTTGTCTACAAATAAAACAACAAAAAAATTAAATTATTGAGATTATAATGCTGATGAAAATTCAGCAGTAAAACATAGTGTCTAGTAACTCTGTTTCCACTTTCACTTACTGACTTTTTAGAAAGCTGCTGGGCACATTTGTAGTATTTGGTGATAGTTTCCTCTATTCGCTGATAAAAAAATATTTGATTACAAGCAGAAAATAGAACACAATCCTTGCATCCAGTATTGAAAACCTATATAAAATGGTTTTGTTGCTTCTTCTGATATGTTTGGTTTTTTTTTTTCTTAGTGATGTAAAGGTTTGTCTAAATCGCCACAAAAATATAGCAGACAGTAAGTTTTCTGGAATTCCTATCCTGAACAGACAGGTTCTTCCTGTTCTTCCTTCCTCCAAATTATATTGTAAATTATGTATTTGAGAAGTTGCTGTGAACGGGTTTGTGGTGTTACATCTTTTTGACTTCTGCAGGTTCGCCAAGAAGCATTGCAGGCACTGTGCTTTGCCCCTCCCTCTGATATACTGAACTCTGAGAGTTGGCCAAGTCTGCGTAAGCATCTGACAATGTCTCTGTCAGATCCTGATGCAACATTCAGTGTAAGCTGGTGTTCTGTATTGAGTTGTTAGATGTGTAGACTTAGTAAAGAATACTGAAGAGAAATAAGAAGTTACATTTGTATTATGAGTAGTCCAGCAGGGTCCCAAGACATTTTATTAGTTGTGTATCTATCAGATAAACTCTTTTTTAAAGTAAAAGAACTATATGATTCCAGTAGATCTTGATTTAAAGGATTACAACAGGATTTGAATAGGATTTTTAGAGACTGGAGTACTTGTTTACATATCTTTTAATAGGAATGAGAGCTTTGAACGTCTTTTAGCAAACAGATTTAAAAGAACCTGACAAAACTCTTCTGTAAAATATGTCGTGTCAATATTTCCTATTTAGGTCCCGTAATATGCTCCATGATGATGAGAAAATGATACATAGTAGTATTACACAGGCACTAATGAGGAAAAAGACAGCTTCTTAAACTGCTTTTAGATTATTTATTATGCCAATTAAGCCTTTTTTTTTTCTTTTTCTTTGAATTTTAAAGTGATTATCAGATAAATATGAAAGTTGCTAAAACTTTTTGCTGTCATAAATATGACAGCTGCTGTATTTCTCTTTCAGCTTAGGTCTACAATTTCTTTTGAAACAGTGCTAGTTACAAGTTATTGGTACATTTATTAACATGAAAACATTAATGTTAATAGAAAAGTACAGTAGTATTCTATGATCTGCTTCTTTGTGTCTCAGTGAGGTGCTGTCAGTTAAGGTATTCAAGTAAAATTGCCTTTGGACTGTATGTTTCTGTGGCCCCAAACTGCATATTTTTATAAAATACGCTTCACCTCTGTAGAGATATCTGAGCAATATGTAATATTAAGAATAATACCACTTCATATTGATTACTGTGCAATAATAATACACAGTTACATGACTATTTAATACATTACTTGCTTTTTCTCCCTTAGGAGAAAATTCTTAGATTCTATGCAAAAACCTTTTCTTCTTCTCCATTTAATATGTCAAGAGACGTCTATACAAGTTTAGGTATGTGCATTTAATTACATTTAAGACTTCATGAGTCATGTACTTCCAGAAAATCAGTTAACTTTTATAATGAAGTTGTATAATACAGTCTGTTTTGCTACTACTGTCATGGAGGTGAGGTTTTGGGTTGAGTTTTTTTTTTTTTTCTTCTTCTTTAGCGAGACACTTGGAATTGTACTTTCTTTCTGGAGAATATTCTCTTCGTATTTCAGCTGGTCTGGATGTATCTAACACAGACATAAATCGTTTACTTAAAAAGGTAGAGATGAACTTTCCGTGCCTTCTTTGTCATTACTGAAACATTGAGTATTATTTGTTTTTTAGTTTTAATAATTATGTTTTCAGGTCCGCCTTTTAAATGAGTACCAAAAGGAAGCTCCCTCTTCCTGGATTCGTCATCCAGAAAAGTATGTAACTTTCAAAAACCTGTCACTGTTTCTTAATTTAATGATTTTCGACATATAATTAGATGCATATAATTTTAGTAAGAGGTTGATTACAGGATGCACAGAGGACTGGTCAGTGATAAGGGGGGGTATATAAATAGTTGGTAGGAAAAGTGGAACAGGGAGTAGACATGGGTCATATTCAGTTACTTAGCTTTTGAAATGTTCTAAGTGCTTTTTGAACAAAAAGAATTTGGATGTTTTACAAAGTGACAAGGGTAATAAAATATGTAATCATGAGGACAATACACACGTATGTTGTTGTTAGTTTTATTCATGGTAATACAAAGAATTAATATCCTTACAAGATCAAGTTAAAGATGATGTTGTTGATATTTACGATTTATCTGAGCAATGAGGGTTTACTAGAAATTTGTTCCCGAGTATTACTGGTGGAAAGATTTAAGTGATTTTTGTTTTCTATTCTTTTTTTCCCTATTTGTGTCATAAGGTACATGGAAGAAGTAGTGGAGAGTACCTTGTCACTTTTGTCAGTAAAACACGAGCCTAATCATCCTGCGTCTCCAGATTTTTTGAGTCCAGTCTACTTCTTGGCGCTGCTAGATATCAAAGCAGTATGGTTTAAAAAGTGGACAGTAAGCAAAAAAAAAACCCCAACCCAACAACCTCTAACTTGTTCATGTCTGACATGTATTTTGAAAAGTTTGATGTATGACTATTATTATCACAGACCTCTTGTGACCTGATAACAACCTATAATAAGCACTGTAATTTAGGAAGTCTGTGGGGTTTTTTTAGGCATTTATGTCCTTTGCCCTTTAACACTACTCTCTCCCTCCATTTCTATTCAGTTACTAGTTTTCATAAAATATGTGGGAACTTGCTCTGCTTTGGGACTTCAGTCCATGTGTCATAATTGACTGATAGTTGTCAGAAGATGCAAATATTTTTCTGGAAGAAGTGATCAGCATGAGAATACAGTTACATATATGATGTGCTGCACACAACTTGCTAACCTGCAGTGGATATTAGAGCTTTTTGCAGCCTACCATGTATAAACTTATAATTTAGGATTTACATGGCAATGTCAAAAGACGTAGTCTAACATTTCAGCATAGTTATTGTTTTTGTGTTTATCGCATGTCCTGCTACATATTTTTCTAATGACGTAATTTTTTTTTGTTGTCTTAAATATGCTGCCAACAACAGGCTCAGTTGAGTATAATACTGCGTTACACAAGCTGGAGTTCAATACATTGAATCTGTACTGTGCACAGGATCCCCAATAGAGCAGAATCAGAGATAATTTCTACTTTTTAAATAAAAAAATAAAACTTATATGTTTAAAGTTGACATTAGGTTGTCTTTGTCATTTTAGCATGCGTATTACAGCAGAACAGTGGTACTTAGGCTTTTGGAAAAGAAATATAAATCTTTGGTAAGTACTTCCCGAGGCAAGTTTACTTGGAACTTGTTCTTGCTTTGCACATTCTGGTTTGAATACTTTTTTCCCTTTTGTCAGAGCTGTTCCATGTTGTTTAGCTAGATAAGCCTTTTTGATTTTATTTTTTTTAATTTCTGTTTCCTTAAATGAATCATTGTTAAATGCAAAGAAGGGTATGTGACCAGCTCTGCGTGAGGGGGAATTTGGATGTTTTATAGTAGGTGTTTAATGAGGATTATTATTTATTAATTTCTTATGTTACATTGACACTTAGAACTACTTCTGACAGCGCATAAAAATAGGAAAAGGTGCACGAAAAAAATACCATAAAAACTCTATGCTGAATTTGGATTTTTGATGAAAAGAGACTAAAACCCCATTATTGTGTTCTTTAAGTTGTGATATGAAACATTAAGGATTCAAAGCGTCAACAAAATAAATCAAACTGGGAAAACATCTTTAGCAGTGTAGGTGTTAATGTTACCACATATTCTGTATGGGCAGATCTCTTCACTGGAATGGAAGTTTCATTGTTTTCAATGAGACCAATATAGATGTGAGAGCCATTCATATAGACAGGAATTTGGCTATGTTTTGTAAAATCTTGTAATACAAGTGAAGTATAAGGTAAAATTTATGTGACTGAAAAAACCTTAAGATGGGAGACAAGGATACAGGCAACTATAACAGACGTATGTCTTGTTTGTCTGTATGCATAGAACAGAGCATAGCATAAAGCATGTCCCACGCAACAAAAAGTTTATAATAGGAAGTCCATGAGCAGGGTAGTCTAATCTAATTTATTAGCGTAAACACCTGATTGAGTTGTTGTTTTTTTTTTTAATTACGTATAGAATCATAGAATGGTTTAGGTTGGGAAGGACCTTGAAGATCATCGAGTTCCAACCCCCCTGCCATAGGCAGGGACACCTCCCACCAGACCAGGTTGCCCAAGGCCACGTCCAGCCTGGCCTTGAACACCTCCAGGGATGGGGCCTCAACAACCTCTCTGGGCAACCTGTGCCAGTGCCTCACCACCCTCCAAGTGAAAAACTTCTTCCTAATGTTTAATCTAAACCTTCCCTCTTCCATTTATTTTATTTACACTTGTGAAGAAGTCTTAGCAGCTCCAAACTGTAATAAATCTAAATATACTTCGTTGTTCATATGCTGTATTTGTGATTAATTTCTAAATCCATGCTGATAATTTTAAAACTTTTGTATACATTGATTAGATGATAATGCTACAATACTGATACAACACTTCTGCAAAGAACAGTAATAGCATTTACAGCACCAACTTACAGTTTAGTAAGTGTATTCAAGACAAAGTTTTTCACGTGGGGAAAATGAAAATCTTCCATAGTAATGACAGTACGGCAATCACAGATTGCCATTAACTTCTCCAAATACTTGCATGTTCTCTGTGCTCTTTTTCATGGATTGTCTTAATGCTTATAGAGCTGGTAGTGTGATAATCTAATAATAATGGCAGTGTGTTTTAATAGCCGTGTAATATTTTGCCTCCTGTTGGTTAACCCATTCAAAGCACCGAAACGTGAAGTAATTGCAGTGAAGTGGATATTTAGGCTCTTGTGTTAAAAGACAGTACTTGGTTACAAGAGAGAGTGACTTTATTGTAAAAATACCAGGTACTTTAATATTTTGTGCTTTTTTTCCACAGATTAATGCAGCTGTCCAGCAATGTCTTGATTATTTTGAATTTTGCAAGGCAGCAGTTAATAAAAATTCTGGAGTCAATGACTTCTCCCAGCAGCATTGTAGTGAGTACCTTTGCATGTCTTGCATTATGTGCATGTACATCCACATTCTCTGGGTCTTTGAGCACTCTGCCTTGAGAGGAAGACATTCCATCTGTTCTTTTGCTTCCCAAAATGTTGTATGTCCATCTTTTGAGAGAACACTAATAGCAGTGTTTAGTTACTTAAGCTGTCTGTCTTTATATACAAAACGATCTATGTATGTTGCAGGTAGTAGCTAGGTACCGTAGAGTACTAAGCTAGAAGAATCAAGTTCTGATTTTTTTGGTTTTATTGTTGAAGGTGATAAGCAGAACTTTTCTTACACTGGACAAGAATTGCAGTACGTCTATTTTGTTCATTCACTGTGCCTTTTGGGAAGATTGTTGATCTATAAGCAAGGCCGAAATCTCTTTCCAGTACAGCTGAAAAATAAAAAAGGTAAGGGGAGGGCTGAAGAAAATGGAACCTGTTGAGCAACACTTTATCTGTACTTGACATATGTTTACACTGCAATATCGTGGACATTATACTCTGTTTTGCAATTCTGTGCCCAGGAACCTTTCTTAAAAGGTGGTGTAGGTAATTTTGAGCATCAACACTGTTTTTGAATCTTTGATAGACATGGTTGAATGGATCACTTTTATCCTTACGCTTAATATATTAATTTCATGTTGAAGGAGAGTTGGATCAGTGTGTAAGTCTTTCTAGGTATGAGTAATATCTTTTGTCAAACCAATTGATATAATTGATTGGAAGAAAAGACACGCGCAGGGACCAAAACCGTTTTTCAGGTGTGAAACAAAATCAGTATTTTCAAGCTAATTGCAAATTGAAAACAATTGCTCTGAGCTTAACTTATTAATATAATTAAGGTAAAACAATGGTAGAGGAAAAGGTTGGTACCTGTGGAACAGAAGTGTTGGTAAGGACAGAAGATAAGAGATGGAAAAGCCCTTGGACATCCAGAAAAATCTACGTATGGTGATACATTGTGCAGGGTTGGCAAATGCAAGCGTGTGACAACAGCTGTAGTGTTCCATTACATTAATATCTCTATTAATTCAGTGTAGGATTAAAAACATTACTGGATACTAATTCTAAGACTAGTTTTTTGAAGATATTTTGTCCCTCTGGTTTGAGGATCAGGACGTAATAGATCCATTGTAGCAGTTGTGAGGAAGAAAAATATACTAATTGAGTGCTTTTGTCATTACTGGATTATAACACCATTCAAGCAGTGATCCATTGGTGATGGTTGCTTTTTTCTCTCCCCTGCAAAAGTAACATTCTTACCATCTGTCTTCTAAATAGTGTCCTTCTCAGCTTTATAGATAGTAACGCTTTCCTCACAAATTGCCTGATTTATTAACATAATTACAGTAAGTTGGAGCAATAGTTCCCAACATGCAGTTAGTTGCATGTTTTTTGGTTTTGCTTCAGACCTGAAGAAAAGTTGTCTGATAGCTTGTCTCTTTTCCAGTTGTTTCACTTAATTTAATAGTAAGGTAATGCTTTTTCCTATAGCCATGTATATTCAGCATTCTCAAACTTTGGCTGCTATTTTTTTCCATGGAAGGCATGGTAAAATTGACATTGGCTGAATTGGGAGCAAGATCAAACCTTATAAGTTCATCATGAAATACCATGGTAGTATCCCAGGGGCATGCATGTCCTTCGCTTTATCAATTGTACTTATGTTGATTTTCTCAATAAAGCAAAGCACTTTTTATATATATTTACAAAATCCATTTTATTTGTAAAATTAAAGTTGCACTTTAATTTGCTGAGTACTTTTCTTTTTTTTTTTTTGTTTTTAACAGATAGTGTATCCATAACTGATCTGTTGGTATTATTTACTCAGCTTATTTATTATTCTCCAAGCTACCCAAAGGCAGCTTTGGCAACACATACAGGTAAATATTTGGTTTTAATATATGCTAATCTGTATAATTATAAAGTTGTGTAGTAACTTCTTTTGCAGTTTTTAATTTGTGGCTGTTACTTGTGCAGATTTTTCTCTTCCCTTCCTTATCTTTCCTTCTTCCCTCTAACTGTGTTAAATCAGTGCTTAACAAAATTATAATTCAGAAGCATTTATGTAAGCCACACAGATATGTTTGTGTAAGTTAAAATATAAACAAATACTTTTTGTGTTCACCAGACAATTATTCTCCAGCAAGTCTTGTTATGGAGATTCTGCAAGTTTTTTGTGATCAAACAGGATGTGCTGCTGAATGTTTATATAAGGATGCAGTGATAGATGCCCTACTTCATCCTGTTCAAACTTTACTGAGTGGCACAGAGGTTTGTAGTAATCTTTGAAATAATTTTTAAATCTATAGAATTATTATCATTTTTCTGTATTTTCTATGTAGAAGATTTATTTAGTTACATGGTAACTTCTGTAGTATTTTCTACCTTAGCTGTTATAGGAATCATTAAATAGTGTAGTCTGTCATTATGATCGGTCTGACAAACTTGGTTTTCTTAAAAGCTTGTGAATAGTAGCAAAAATTGTTCTTTAGGGAGACCATTTCTTTGAGAAAATACCATAGCTTAATTATTTGTTTGTTTTTTTTTCCCGTCCGATGTTTTTGTGTGTCTTTTGGATATTTCTTGGATGCTTATTTGCTGTACCTCCTATTTAAAAGGCAACCTACTTTTATTCCTTTTTAAATTCATCTGGCAACTTGAAGTTAAGTGTATAAATAATATAAATACTCAATAATTAGTATAGGTAAAATATGTAATTCTTCATGGGAAATTATTTTCTGAATCGGTAAAAGGAAGAGTTTGTGATTTTTTTTTCATTTTTTTTTTAAAGCACTTCTATAAGAGTTGTAAAAATCTGGGGAAACATTATCTACCTCTAGATACTGAAAGTCTAGTTATATTTTCAGCCTGTCCTGTTGTTTTTGTTTTGACTGAGATGATTTAACTGATCTAGGTGACTGTAAGTCTCAAGACAGAGAGGCTGAGGGTCTGAAATGCCCATGGAGGAGCCTGAACTATCTTACATAAAGAGACTCTGAGAGAAATTAATGGCTGATAAGAATTTACTTCCTGAGATTCGTGCTTGAAAAGGCAGTTTCTAAATTAAATACCTCATCTATATTCTCTACATTCTCAAAGTTGAATTTTGTCAGTATCCTTCTGATTATTTTTTCAGTGCAATTTGTGTGTTTTTCAGAAAAGACACTTCATATTAATTAATGAAAATATTTTTACCTATACAAAAGTATTCCAATGCTATTTCAGAAGTTTCCAAGTAAATATTTAAAGTATGTATTTCTGTAAAGCTTAAAGCTATAGTCCTGCAAAAACTTGATCATGTCAATAATTTAGCTCTTCTGTGCAGTAGCATTACTTACACATTTTATTATAAGCCTATCTATGGATGCTTTTCCAAATTAACACTTTAGGTTGTCTTGTTTTTACTGTGCAAATTTTTTGGAGTACAAAAAATGACTGAGCCTGCATATGCTTTGAACACTGATAGTCAAATTTAAAAACAGTACTAAGGCAATCATTGATTTGCTGTGATGGAGTCCTGTGTAAATCCCCTAGGCAATCTGTGTGTTCGCATGGTATTCTAAAGCATATACAACCGTCTCACTTTTTTATTATACATTGGTAGTTAAAAAAGAAATTACCTCAATGTTTAACAGTTCTTCCTTTTTTTTTTTGGTTTCTACCATGCTCTGCTGCTTCTCATAGGTAGCTGAACTCTTAAATTGTAAGCCTTCCTGTGACTTAGTAACTGGTCTGTTTAAAAAAACAGATCAGATTCAGGCATATTTAATGCACAGGAGCTGTAGTAGGTTGGTTATGTGTTGTGAATCTGGAATATGTCATATTTGTTGAAGGTGCAAATTGTTTTGTATTGCATCTGGCAAACAATGGCTAGAAAAGGTAGACCAAGTCAGAGTGACCCTCTTTGTCTTTTACAATTTGAACTGGTTTTGCTTCCCAGCCAAACCATTGGCTCTTCTTAGACACCCAGGAATCCTAATGCTGGACACTACTACTGGACCATGCCTATATCGGAAGGTTATAGCCATGCACACATCTTTCTTCAGCTGGAGTTGTGGGGTGGGTAGCACTGGAGCTGCAGTGGGGCTCCTTGGTTGTACAATGGGCGTAATGAGCAAACACAGTGATGTTATTTTACATTTGAGCTCTGAATTCAATCAGATAAGTGCAAGCCTTACTTGCCTTTTAAGCAGAATAGTATTGTGTATCTGTAGTAGCGAGGAGATGAGAAGCTTGGTGGCAATAAGCAGGAGTTGTCAGAAGGATCAGTTTGTGGGCAGCAGTATTGATCTTTTGGGCTCTTTAGCCTCTGAGTTGCTGCTGAAGCATAGCTGGTACAGAACTTTGCTTTTATATTCCAAATAAACAAAGTACTATGTTTTGGATTTTTTTTTTTTGGTGTTGCACAGGGAAAGCAAAATAGTAATGCTCTTGAAGAAACAGTGACAGCACAGTATGTTCCTTTCTTAGAATTAGGAACAATGATACCCAGTAACTTAAAAATAAAAGGTCAGGGAGATTTTTAACCCTCTGTATTGCTGAAAATTTTAACTAAAAAACCTAAAGTCAAAATGGTACTTTTTCTTGGGTTACTTTGACCACCGGCATTAATAGTAAATTCCTTAAAATTTAAAGTAGGAAGACTATTTTTCCTCTGTGCACTATATAAAATGTAGAGCTACCTGTCAGAGAAGAAGTAGGAGCTGGATTGCATAGCATTTTAAAAATAATTTCTTCTGTGAATCCAGCTGTCCTTGATGAATAACAGAAGAGTGGAGAAGACTTAAGCAGTGGCCCTCAGCTTCAGAAGGGTGGTGCTTTATTCTCCATTCTGACGTACTAGATATTTAACAAGTGTCACTGGGAACAGTAATCCCTGCTAGCTCATCTCACTGTGGACTCCACTCTCTTGTCCGGGGTGTGGGTAGGGGGAAGCTACCAAAGAGGACTTCTTGCTTTGAAAACTGTCCTTCTTTTTTGTAAGTACGTTTGTGTGTAATTCCTAGGAATTTGGAGGAATATAGACAGGGACAGAGTTTGGATGAGCATTTTCAGGACACTGTGTAAGTCCTGCAGAATTACAGCTGCTGTCTACTGTAAGGCCCTTGGCCCATCTCCCCGTTATTTCCCCTCCCCTGGGCTTGGTAGCCTGGGCTCAGGACCAGCATAGGTAGTACTGTGAGTATCCAGCCTTGAAGAGAGCTGTTTGAGAAGGTGCTGCAAGGAAGCCTAAGCAGGGATCCCCCCAGCGATGACTGTCCTAATAAGCCTCAGTGTGGACTCACTCCACCTTCCACTCAGGAGTGTTTTATAAACTGAGATTCTTGCCCTCGTTCCATGCCTGTGCTGCGTTGTAGCAACATGGAATCCTCCTGTCCCACTCATGTGGACCCTGACCCACAGTCATGACTTCTTCACTTGCTTTGCCTCGGACCTGCTTTGTCACTGTAGATCCGGTTGCATGGTGATCACTGGGCTGTCTGACCCTGGTTACTGTGTCTGGTGCTGACCCTGACTCACTGACTCAGCTTCCTGGCTTAACCTTGCACCTCCATCATCATTGTGGAGCAGATCAGGACTGTTGGGTGAACCTAGTTACTATCACTGGACCTCATCTGCTCACCTTGCTTGGGTATAGTGGGACTGCCCGCCCATCCCATGGCAAGCCACTGCCTCTGCTGGCCTCATTATCACACTCAGTTCCTGGCTCCTTGTCCCTTGCAGGGCATCCTGCCCTCGCTGCTCCTTGACAGGTTCTTCATGGAGCACTGATGTTCTGCTTGTCTACTATTGGAATATTGACTTCACTTATTAATGAGCAATGGCCAATTTAGCATTAATTCGGGTAGTACGCTCATTAGTGATGGTACCAGGCTGTACAGTCTGAATTCCAGTGTTAAGTGTTCAAGTTTGCTTGATGACAGCCTAATTGTGCCTATACAGTGGTCTGAAGTGAATAAGGAATTGGCAGATGACTTTTGTTTTGGTCCAGTGGGGCAGACTTTCCTCATGATTCCAAAGCTGTTTGGGCCTACCGCAGCCTAGAAGTTGGGTAGACACAGAAGATCTCCTTGAGAACTAGAATTCCAGTTCTAACCGAAGAGTTGCCAATGGATGTTCAGCAATGAGGGAGTTAGCGTGTTTCTCCTCTTGATTCAGGTAATGCTGTTATAACCCTAGATGGCATATCGAAAGCTTTCCCACATTCATGGTGGGAAAAGAGAAAAAGGAGTTTAGAAATGTCTGTTCTCTGTATCTGTGCAGTCACTGAATTTCTGCCATAATCATTAAAAGTGACAATTACTGCGATTTGTGATGAAGACTTCTATGTGATGGCGTTTGAGCATAGGCTGTTTACTTGTTTTGTTTAAGCCATTAAGCAGTCATCAGAAAGGTGACCTTCAGGTTCTGCATACGTAAGCCAGACTTGAATAAACAGCTTTCACAGAAGCATTAAATGGGAAACTTTTTTTTTTCTTTCTTCCAAATAGGTATGTATAAATTGTCTTGAAACCACTTTAATTCATGTAGCTGATATTTTGGCAAGGATTGCTGCTGTAGAAGATGGTCTTTCTCTTCTTCTTTATGGAGAAAATGAAAAAACTGCCAGAGAAGATAGGTAAGAGTGCATTAATGAATAGCATTAGTGAGTACTTTAATGAATTACATTAGTCTTACGAGACTCATTTTCTCTTTTTTCATTTATCTATAACGTGATGTATTTTGTTTATGTTTGGAGTAAAATATCTGATTATCAAGTAAAGTAGTAAGTGTTTTAGAGAATGTATTAGGGAGACATTTATGTGTATAACCAGATGAAACGACAGTTTAAAGAAATACTTTTAGTAAGGGAGATTTCCATGGTTTACGTGTTTTTCTTATTCATGTGAGAGCTTTCCTTTCTCTGAATGTGGTTCCCTTATATTCGTAGCGCTGCTGTTCAGGTGAAAGGCCTCTCCTCTCTGTTTTTTGTTTGTTTTTAGAATAAATATTAAAAATTAACCTAACTTATTAAAAGAATAGATTTAATGTAGCATTCACTTTTCAATACATCTGGTAGAGACAGATTTTGTATCAGAAGCTGACATTTGTAATGCTGTACCTAACTTAGGATCTGTGTGATCCTGTGGGTAGTATATTGTTAGTTGATGCTAAAACTTGAAACAGGGCAGTAAAACTGAGACTAGCCTTTAAAAATATCTAAGCTGCGTGTCATAAAAATGTGTGAAATGTATGTCTTCTAAGTGGAGGAATCTCAGAAGTTGCATATGTTTTTAAGGGGGTTTGGAAGTAAAGGATAGTATTTTGGAGAAAGAGTTTTCCTTTGCATTGCAAGCCTAGAAAACTTCAAAAGGAGATCTTGGATAGGAAAAAGGAAGAACAAGGACAAATTTTTGCCTTGTAGTGATATCCTTAACACTGATTAAGCAGCAGCTAAAATGGTTGTCTTGTTACTCTTCCCAACTGGACTCTTACAAAACATACAGTCTGTGTAGTTCGTGCCTACGTGCCCTGGAAGAAAGACGATGGATGCATTTTTACCTTACGTAGACCTGTAGCCCAAGTAAAATCACTTGCTGTACACTTCTTTTCTTTTGACTGGTGTTAAAAGTTAGAATATCGTTCCCTCCACAGTGGGTCGTAGTTTCTTTTCATAGTTTATTTTCCCCTAGAAAAAATTAAATACATTTAGTCAGAGGATTTGTTTCAAGGCTTATTGATGACTACAAACAAACATTTTAAAAGTGTTATTTTATTTCTAGTCCTGCAGCTGTTCATGTAATTGTTCAGTTTACAAAGAAACTTCTTCATGACGACATTTCTCTTTTATCTGGATCCGAGATTTTGCCAGTTGTTAAAGGAGCTTTCATTTTTGTATGTCGTCAGATGTACAAAACTTGTGAAGGCCTGCAGATGCTAATTCCTTATGGCTTGCATGAGTCTATCGGAGAGGCCTGGAAAAAGGTAAATCTTGTTTTGGCTTGGGAAGATTGGAAAGAATCTTACTGTAGAGGTTCAGCTTACGTAATAGGTGCTCTTTGCTTCAGGTTGCTTATATTAAAGTAGTGAGGTAATGCTTGGAATTGTTCTAAAAACGAAGTTCTACTTTTCAAATTTTCCTTCTGTACAGAAGCTTAGTTTGAGACTTCTGTGCCTTGAGATTAAACCAGGAACTCTCAAGATGCATGGATAGACCTATTGTTCATAGATCAACTCCTTTCTAAATGTTGTCTTTGATGCTGGAGGTCACCTGATGTCATGATAGCCACTGTCCACCACAGATCTGGTTTTCACTCTTGGTTTGGGATATTTAAGGAAAACCTCTTGAGATGTGGTCTTAGTGATTTTTAGGCTAAAGTAGTTAGCTTTGGTCAGAGATACTGAGGAAGAAAAGGAAATGCCAAATATTTAACTTAAATAGTTAGATGCCATTGAAATATTCTCAAGGGACCATAATGAGCAGTGCCAGGCAGGAGTTCTTGTCTTACCTGTGTATTTGGATACCTCATGAAGTGTAGAGTCTGTATTTCAACTTCAGTTTGATTGCTAGTCTAATGCTTTTTCTGCATGAAAGAACAGTTCTGCGTATTCTCCCTTCTGTTATAAATTTACTGAACAAGGTATATGGATCCCTGCTTTATTCACTAAACTTTTCTATTTTCAGTGTTCTGATAGTTGTATGCAGTGTGAAAAGTCTTACGTATTACTATAAAAATTTAGTTAAGATGGAAAAATGACAGCAGGTGCTGCAAGAGCAGTTTTCCTAAATTCACAGTGAAGTAAAATTCAAACAAACGTTTGAATCATTAAAATCTTTGGCGGTATTTAGGTAAGAGTAGCATACAAAGCTTCAACTTTGGCTTCCAGCTAAACTGAAAGCATCTTTAAACTATCATTAGTAGAACACTTAGTGGAATAGCAAAATTTAGCTGTGTTGTTTCACTTCATACTGAAAAATGGAACCATCTCTTTTTTTTTAACTCCCGCGATGGTAAAATGTTTTCATAGAGAAGGATCAGAGCAAGCTGGAAGAAGAAAGTTGGCTAAAAAACTAAAGATTCCTTTTGGAGGCAAGGAAGCAGGAGAGATTGAATGCAAGGGAAAGGGAATGGAACAGCTATTCTTCCTGTCAAGTGCTGTATGCTTTTATTATGATTAGAAATTTTAAAAATACAGTCACAATGTAAACTCAGGCAAAAAATGTTAGAAAGATAGAACATGAATAGAAGGGAGACTTTAAATCACCAGCTTGTGGGTCTTTCTCACTGCTTTTATGTACGAATATTATCATGAAAGCATACATTTTGATTGAAAATAAAATATATTATTACTTACAATCATAATTATATGACAGTAAACTATGTTTCTCATTAAAGAATGTTGGTTTTGAAACTTAGGCTCTTCCTTGCATTGAGAGCTTTAGGATTTCACTGAATTAAGGAGTTTAGTTCACTTGAATCATGCTGTAATTTACGTAACTCAACAATCTGTCTGTCTTTCTGTGCTTTCCTATTGTGTAACTAGTCAGTCTTACTTGAACTAACCTGTTACTCTATTTAATGTTTATCACAAGCAGACTGTTATATGCTTTTGATGGGCATTTCCAGTTATTTGCTCTAAAGCACCAGAGCGTTTGCACATGCACAAAAGACTTCTTTGCACATTAAAATCATCTATGATGGTGTAGAACATCATTTAGACAAATTGTTTTGACACATACAAGATAAGTAGGCTGAATGTGTCGAATTTAAAAACAATCATGAAACATTTAACTGACAAAATGCCATTTTTTCACATCACTTTGGAGGTCAAATTGAGACTGAAGTGTAATCTACAAATTCAGGACCTCAGGAATTGACAGGTTGGTACAGTAAAGTTGCATTTTCAACTCTGCCATCTTGATTAGTTTTTAAATTATTTTCTGTAATTTTTCAATTTTAAAACATCTGTGGTTTATAAAATATTCTACCATTTGTAGTGTAGCAAAAATGGTGGACTTTGGAATCTAGCCAAGCAGTAGTGACAGTTTTTTAATGGATAGACTGGTAATTTGTTTCCTCTGATTTTACATGTCTCCTGGGGTTTTAAGACTGATGGAGAAACAATTTTTTTTCTTGGCAGATTCTCCTGGAATTCTGGGACAGAATTTGTACAGATGATACTAAAAGGGGAACTTAACAGATTCAGGGCAACTGACTGTCTTAATAATCTTTTTTGGATATATTAGATCACTTTTATGAGAGAGTAAATTAATGACTGCTTGCTTTCATTTGCATGGTGCAATATGCTTTTTATCCCTGGAAAGATAAACCAGCTTAAATCATTCATCTTACATATACAGTGTTTTTCACACTAGTTATTTTCAAACATAATTTAAATTAGAAACTTCGTTTAATATAAAATTGTGTATGTATGTTTATCTATGTCTGTATGTCCAACTATATCCATACCAATATAGATACATTTATAGAATGTATACATAAATAAAATAAAAATTGACAGAATTACTTAATAAATTTGGTACTGAGTTGTTGACTCCAGAGGCTTTTATTTCCATTACCTGTGACAGAAGTAGAGAGTTGCTTTCTGTTTTTTTGTTTTGTTTTGTTTTGCTATTATTAATACTGATTTTTTTGCTTTGGGAGTCTCCAGTTAAAAAGTAAAAAAAAAAAAAAAAAAAAAAAGTGCTTTATATTTTAAGAATTTTAATGAAAGTTTAAATAATGTACTAGCTTTAAAATGGTTTAAGCCCAAGGAAAAAATAAAAAATAAGCTTTTCTGGAATAAAACGTGTAGTAGAATAGTGTATTCTGTGCCAAAGGCTAGAGTACAACCCGATCACTGTTATTTTTTTAATGTATAACAAGAACATGAGCAAGATCTGGAGTTTAAAAATGGTGTAAATAAACAGTAAGGAGGAATTTATTTTTTTATTTCAGACAAGTTTGCTTTCAGAAAGAGTACCCACTCCTGTGACCGGCATGGACTCAACTTCTTCGATAAGTCTAGAGTCCAAAAACACGTAAGTTGATGCTTAATTTATGCACGTGCACAAGCATGAACATATGCTGCTAATTTATCCACAGCTGAGGCATCTTATGACCCTGTGGTTTTTTTGCTAAAAGCATAGGGGTAGGTAAAGGGAAGTCGTCTTAGTATAGGTCTGAGTAGAGTTACAAAATTGTTCTTGCTCTTTCAGGACTTTCTTGTCTTACAGAGTTCTGTCTAATGTATGTAAGATTGACTTATAGTTGATTCTCTCTAAATACAGAAATTGGTTTGAGGAAAATGTGAATTAGAAAGGATAAAACAAAATAGCTGTCAGAGTTTATCTTATGGCTTTGATGCAGTGTTGGTTTAAAATGCTGTTCTGCTGAATGGTATCTACACCTTCAAAATACTATGTAGCAAGATTGGCAGCATTTTGGCTGAAAGCCTAATATGTATTAAGTGAAAGACATCCTTCCTTTTGCACTAAAACGTAACGTCCATTTTTCTAGAAGTTTGTATGCATTAATATGAGAAATACACAAATATTTGTGAGCCTGAAAATTCAGGGTGATGTTGCTGTTAGTGCAGAACCTAGTTAATTAAGTAGGTTCTTGTTTATACTTTACCATAGATTGCGTGTATAATTTGCGAAGATGCCTCTATAGTCTGTGGTGGTGGCATGTGAACTGGTTATAGCAATTTAAATCTAGTGGTGAAAAGAAATGTAGGGATGCAGAGCTCTGACTGAGAAGGCTGTTACTAATCACTACCGTTGACATAAGCTACAATTTCCTCCTAGCATCTAGATTTTTCATTTAACTATGGAACAAGACATGCTTATATATTTCTGGGTGAAATTTTTGCTTCTGAACATGACATAGCAGGGATTTTGCAGGAGATGTGATTAAAGTTTGGGGTGGTAGTTCGCTGCTATGAGAAAAGCTGTGTGCTGCTTGCTGGTGATGGGAATCAAAAATGAGAAATGAGAACTAGAGATGAGAATCCAGCAAGGAAATGCTTTTAGAGAAGCAGAATCAAGCAGAATCACAAGAGTGTAGTGATACTTGCAGGGATGGTACCTAGTCAAAGGTAGGTAATTCACTTTTCCTTTTAGGGCACAGAATACTGCAGGGATGGTACCTAGTCAAAGGTGATGTAATTACTTCACTTTTCCTTTTAGGGCACAGAATATTTTGTAGGGCAGACTTTATTCTTGCAATTGCTGTTCTTCCTTGCCACGTCTGTAGAAAATATTTTCCTTTTACTGCTGTTAGTACGTGAAGCTATTGTGTGTATATAGCACCTTATTTTCATAATTCTGTAATAGTTTCTAACAGGAGCCTTTATCTCCTTAAATGTGCATTTTTATTAGTTCCTCATTGTGTTTTTACACTGGTGAGAAATTCTGAGCCTGCTTTGCCAGTTTGTCGCTGCCATATGAATACCTTAAAAGACTTGTCTAGAGTCAGCTGGGAAGTCATAAATACATTTAAGGATGGCATGGGTCTTTTGTGTTCCCCATTACATCATCTTTCCGTTCTGTGTTCCTACCTAACCTTAGTTTTCCCAGGATGATTTTAAATGTTTCTACAAAATACAGTCTAATACGTATAACTTTCCCAAATGCTTTTTAAAAACTAGTGTAAACATATGGAGTAAACAGAGTCTAGTGAATGAAATGCTGTTTTTCAAAGTCAGAAATTGTAGTTTTTCCCCATGCTTTTTTACGTACCTTTTAAAATTATTATTTTGCTACTCTTGCAGTGTGTTATGGGAGGAGACTTTGTTAGATGCCTTGCTAAATTTTTCTGCCACACCGAAGGGACTATTTCTGCTTCACAGTACAGGTGCTATGAATGACTGCGTGAACTTTATGTTCAACAGTTTATCAAAAAAACTCCAGGTAAGCATTATAGAATCTCTACAGCTTTTCTTTCTTTTAATGATTCCAATTAAATAAAGAAGAAAGAAAATAAATCCAGAAACCATTTTGTCACTTAATTTTTGAAAAAATAAATTTAAAGTGTAGCTTTTCACCTTTGACATTGGTGCTACACTGATTTAAGTTTGTTGGATGTTAGTCATCTTCAATATGTCAGGTATTTGTTTAGGTTTTCTGACTTTTTATAGTAAAAAGTTTGAAATGCTAAAGCAAAATATGTTTTCTTTTTTTTTTTTTTTTTCTAAATGCAAATTTTTCTAGACCACGTAGGTAGGCAGTGTTGAAATCTGCATATGCTAGACAGTACTTGAAATGTAACCAAAAATTGGATAATATGCATTTTAGGAGAAAAAACATAATGTTACAGACATCCTACTGAATGTGTGCAAAAATACCTATTGTAATGCAAAAGTTTTATTCTTTGCTGATGTTGCATGTCTCAACCATAGTATTTTGCATTTAAATTTTGATAAGATACTTGCTAAAGATGTTTGGTTTGGAATCTGACCCTGATAAATCTGTAGAGGATAATATCTATGCACTGTTCAAGTCTAACCATACTGTGGATTAAATTCTGTAAACAAGTGTAGGAAAGATCAATATTTAAGAGATCATTTGAAAGTTTCATGCCCTCTGAATAACTAACACTGTGCTTTTATATTTGTTACTAACAGAGAAATGCATGTGAAGAGTTTGGTAATAGAGTGATTGTTACACAAATGGCAACAACACCGACAGGTGCAGTAGCTCTACAGAGTTCAGGTAAATTGAAGAATGATGTTATGAATACTTACATGCTGTAGTCTTGCATATTAGAAAAAGATTGTGAGAAAGATGTTAGAAAACATCAACTGAGCAGAATAATTACGCAGTATTAGCAAAGACTGCGTAATTAGACATTAAATGTCTATTGATTTCTTCTTGATGGAAATTTATTCTTTCCAACTTTTAAATCATTCACTTATCTTGATGCTGGATTTTGGTTTTGTTTATTTTTTTTTTTCTTAAATTAAGCAAAACCGTTACTTCGTCAGTTTGGATTTCCAGAAATTTCCTATATGTGCATGAAGACATTTCTGTCTGTTAAAAAATAAGTTGCTAACAATTTGCAAGTGCTTCTTATTGATCTGTAGATCAGAATTAATAACTGTTGATTTGTGTAATTTGTATGTACTTTCTGTGGCTACTGACTGCTCAAAGGCTGAGAAACCGTGAAGTTCTGAATGTCATTGGTGCTCTTATACGATAGTGAGATGGAATTTAGATTATAAGAATTGACAATTTTTCTCATATGTTAACTCATACCACAAAGTCCCTGCAGATTTCTTCTCAGATAACTCAACTGTTGCCATACCACCCAGGGGTCTGGGTAGTCGTTATGTTAAAACTAGAATCTTATCAATAAAGTAAAGCTGCTGTCTTAAGTTGTGAAGGAAGTCCACGAGGTACAAAAGTTGCAAATAATTCTCCCGAGTATCTAGAAGCGGCTGGTGTGTGATTAAAATGACTTGACTGAAAGACTGTCAGAAATATAGGCAAAGTCTGCCAATCAAGGAAACTGATTGTTAATTGCTTATTATTTATGCCTCTGGGATCTTTCAGAAAGCAGGGAGCAGATCTACTTGAGGAGTAACCCATCTGTCCTGTTTAAGGTTCTCGGCCAAGTTACTTCTTATGGCCCTTGGTGTCAAAGACAAATGGTAGACCAAAAATAATCAGTGTTGGTTTTCAGTGTTGAGAGGAGGTTGTGTAATGTATGTAAAGTTTGTATTAAGCCTATAACTTACATTTGGAGATTTCAGAGTTAGATGGCTGTCCTTCCTCTTCTATTTTAACATCTAACTTTTTAAATTCACCTAGTAGTTCTTCTCTTAAAAAGGTTTTTCCAGTCCTTAACTTTTCAATGTGGTATGTTTTCATTTATTAATGAGTTATAGTAAATCTGTATTTTCAAAACCACGGAGCAAATACTAGCGAAGCCTTGATCTGTAGCAGTTAACTTGTTAAAGAAGGTCAGCAGCTCATTTACATGGAAGTTATATAAATATCATCCTACTCTAGTATAATAGTCTTTGTGTACTGTTGCATTAGATTTTAAATTGAACATAAGCAGACTGCTGTAGAAAGGTAGTTTGACTAAAGGATAGAGAACAGCAGGGAGGGTAACCCTCAGGCAGTCTGTCTTGTGAAATTTTAGTCCACAATGCAGAGAATTTTGAGAATCTGGTTTAGGATTATGGTGTGAAATGTTTTTTTAATATGAAGATTGTTTTTCTGGTGTTCTTGCCATTCAGATAATTAGAAGAAACATTTGTTTTAGGTTTTATAAAGGCACTTGTAACTGAATTATGGGCTCTTTTGGAGTGTGGAAAAGATGATGTGAGGGTAACCCAACCCAAATCTACTCCAGTTGACCCTATTGACCAAAGCTGTCAGAAGGTGAGAAATTACTTAATCTTCTGTTTTGGCATGGAAAAAATAGTACTGTATTTCAGATAGGATAGTACATACCTTTCTGTAAATTTTTATTGCAACTCTACCTGCTTCTTGGCATGTGGGGCAAAATTAAGTGTAAAACACTAACTGATGACTGATTGAAAGAATTTTTTTCCTGCATGCCAAGTCACAATGTCAAGGATCGATTAAAATCCTATTTACAGACACTACTGCCTTTTTAGATTATATAGACACTTGCTAGGGTTTGCAGTCTAATTTTGGGCAACTCTATTTATGCCAAGTTCAGCCTACAAAGAAGAATAAGAACAAACCTAAAGCAAATGGCAAATAATTTTTAAAGTTTATTTGGTTATACTTAACTAATTAACATTCCCTTTTGTCCCCCATTTTTTTCTTTCTCTAGTCTTTTCTGTCTCTGATAAACTTGCTCACTTACCCTGCAGTTTTTGAGCTCCTGAGTAAACAAGATATACCAAATAAACCAATGTATTCACTCCGCGAAGTACCTACAGATATTATTGTAAGTATAGTTTTTATTTTGAAAGAAAAATAAATACTTCTGTGCAGACATTTTTCCTGACAAAAAGTTACCATAATAACAGAATAAGTTTTTTCTTCGTAGTGAAAGATTTTGAAATTTTCTGCATTTTGTATTCTATACAGCATGAGGGCAGTATATGCACATATTACTTCATGTTAACCTAAATTTTCATTTTGAAATCCTAAAGATAGTATAAAACTTGATGCCTAATCTAAAGATCATCTTTTTTGACTTCTGTTAGAATTGTGGTTTTCCATGGAAAAAAATTGACATACGTAAACACCTCAGTATGTGCATGCAGATACATGCTGGAAAATGCTGGAAAATCTCTGTACTTCTATTTTATATAATATTGCTCTATCACACTGTGGATTTAAACAAAAATTAAAAAAACAAAAAACAAAACCCAAACCAAACCAAAACCTCAAGCACAGGTGATTCGCACACAGAAAAAATCACTAACTGGGAAGTTACTGTTTAAGGCATATTTCAGTCCTAAGAAAAATGGTCTCACCTTTTCTGTATTTAGTATTGTTTTGTATTAGTTCATCCAACTGCAATCCACTTTTTTTTTCTCATCTACAAAGCACAGGCAAATTTAATCTGTGACCTTGACTGGTAGTTAATTTTTTTTCTAATGAGCTAGCACTTTGAATTGCTGTTGTGTTAAAGTGTTCGTAGCACAAGCTCTGGATTGGTGGTAGTTGAAGTTGTTTCGACAGCTTATATCATAATACTGTGTGTTAGGTTTGGAAGGGATTTTTGTAGTTCTTTTTTGTAACACTGTGTTGGTGATTTCAGGAGAAAATGGGATGATAAATGTCATTTTTCCAATACACTCAATGTGTCCACTGATGGATAGTTCTGTTCAGTCATCAAGTTTTCTCAGGCACTGGGAGCAGGGGAGATAGATGTATATTGAAGGTGATACATATTTGAGAGCTTTCAGATCGGGGTGGATCTTAAGTAATGATTTTTGTGACTTTTGAAAGCCTATGTTGTTTTGGCTTTTGAGGCACTTCAGTAGTTTGATGGTATTCTCTCGGTTTCCAGAAATAGCAATACTGATACAGTTGTTCAAAGTTCCCTGAACTGTTACAGATGTTTTGGACGGGGTTTGTCTCACTTACATCCTGTGCAACAGTGGGTTTTGTAAGCTGAAGCTAGACATCCAAGATTCTGTAGTTAAGAGAAGGGAAATAGTCAGTTAATCGAATGTTAATTTAACACATAATGGCTAAGTCTAAGTACTCAGAACACTTCTGGGGTTAAGCGGACGTAAACATTTGTTATAACCATATTTTTGGGCAGTGATTGCACTAAGCTAAAGATTAAAAAAAATAAATTGACCAGATGTAACTATGGTTAGAAAGCATAGTAAAAGCAGTTTTGGTGCCACTAGAAGATTTGGTTAGAAGACCTAATTGCTTTCTGTGCTTCGTTTTTCTGTATTTCTGAATCATGTCACATTGCCACGGAACCTGACTTGTAGTATTTATGCTGAACTATATTTGATAATGCACAGAACTTAATAATCTTTGCATGCCTTTATTTCTTAAACACACAGGATTTAAACATTTTTTCCTCCTTTGTATTTTTGGCTAACCAGTTGCATCATTAACCGAACAGATTATCACTTGGGCTTTTAGTACTTCTGACTGATGACTAATCAGGTTTTTATTTTGTGCCCTTGAGAAAATTTTTCTTAATACATGCCAGTTTTTTTTTTAAACTCTTTGCCATATAAAAATATTTTAGAAAACGAGGCTGATAAATCAGGGTCCTTCTGCCTGCTTCCACTCTTCCTTTGAGAGGTTCTACAGTACACCTATTCAAGGGAATCTGGCTTGGAAGGTACCCTCCAGACCTGTAGCTTTGAAAGACATGTTTAAGCAGGTGAAGTTTGTTTTTTTTTTGTTACCCCCCCCCTCCCCCCCCGTGATTATGGAGAATCTTGTATTTAGATGGCGTATCTTAGGTATTCAAAGTAGAGGACATCCTACCTGTAATATTTAAGCTATACAGTGTAGTTGAGCAGTGCAGATTTATCTGCACGTTTTTCTGATTGGACCTTGTGTTGGACCTTGTTCACTATCTTCCTTCCTAATATTCCAAATCAGAGCTTGGTCTGCTTTCTCAGTAGTTCTTTCTCTGTGCCTGCTCTTTCTACTCTATTGCAGGCTCCAACCTTTGATGTATAGCTGAGAGGAGGAGATGTTGGCAGAGAAATATCCCTTGGCATTTAACTCTTTGCACGTGCAAATATCTGAAAAGCCTTAAACCCCCAAAATATCGATCTCTTGCATTACTGATTTTATGAACAGCCTTGAGGTCCGAGTTTAATTATTTTATTGTGAATTTCATTGTGAACATACTATGTAGAAAAAATACATTCTTCATAGTCCCCTACCATCCAAAAAAATCTTGTAGGGTAAATATGGTTTCACTGTATTTTAAATAACAATGCATTTTATAAAGACACTCTATTTGACAAGTGCTGGAATTTTTTTTTTTCCTGCTATTGGGAGTTTTACTTGTGGTGTGTATTTCATCTATGTTGAAAAACAGAGCTTTGGTTGATTTCAAGAAAGTACGGATCCTAACTTTTCTCTTGTATCATATTGAAATGACTGATTGATCTAACCATTTGAATACTAAGTCTGTGTCTGAGACTATACTTCTTAAACGTGGAGAAAATAAAAGTTTGGATTTAATCCAGATTAAATAAAGCCTATAAGGACTTTGTAGTTTTTCTTCTGACCATAGCACAGCAATCTGTCTATGACACGATAACAGTGAATGTTTTTATGCATTTCTTAGTCTTTTAATGAAATAATTTCTTCAGAAGCAGTTTGGATATGCAGTGAACCAGGGGGGAAGAGAATTAGGTTGGATTTGTGGAAGAAGTGGGAAGCAGCCATGGGTCGTTGTCTATTACATGAAATGCTGTATGATGAAAGATGTAAGCCTCAACATCCAAGCTAAGCCTTGTTACGCTGAGAATAAATAGCTGTGTTTTGAAGCATGTAGTACTAACCAGTGTTAGAAAGGTATTATACTAAAGGATTTGCTGTTATTTTCATTAAAATAGATGTATACACATTTCAAACATACAAAAAAAGCCAGTTTAACATTTTTGTTATGGTTTAATACTAAATAAAAACTGGGGTACTTGATATGCTAGGATCTTTTTGTATGTTTAGTGATTTATTCTTTTTAACTGAGTTTTTTTTCTCCTAATCTTCCATATGGTTGTTTTTTTTTTAATCTAAGATTTTTATTTTTCCCCTTAACCTTCTATATGGTTTCTTTTTGCCATTGGCTTTTATGGTGGAAAGCACCTCTTCTTACAGAAATAATTTTAATGTGCATTTTATTAATAGGTTTCATTTTATAGTAAACATCCCTATGAAACTATTATGTGCATAAAATAAAAATTCATACATGGTTTTTTTTGCATTTGTCTTCTTTGGCAGGATATCATTGACAGGCTTATAATTTTGAATTCAGAAGCTAAAATTCATTCCTTATTCAGTTATGAACAATCACATATCTTTGGTCTGAGGTAAGATGCTCATTTTTTATTCTCTGGTCACATTAACTAAATAGGATGTAACATGCTTGGATGTGTTGCTTCTGATAAGATAACATTGTTTGGGTTTTATTATGCATGAAGGTGAAAATTCCCCCTTTTTTAACATAAGAAGATTAAATGAAAAATGGCCTACAAAATGAGAATAGCAATGAATCTAATCTTATTACCTGTAAATGGATATATTGTAATATGATAAGCAGTAATAGAAATTGCATGTTGTTATTTTGCCTAGTTAATTGAAAAGAACATGTGCTACATGCATTGTAGTGCATAAACCAAAAATCTTACCAAAATACTAAAATTAAGTATTTTTACCATATTTATATCAGTTTGGTTTATCTAGTCTCCCTGTACTTATTTTTTTTTTAATTTATTCGTTTAATTATCATCAATTTCACTAAAACTTTTTTTGAGGAGGGTACCATTTGATCCCAAATATTTCTAGAACCTGAAGGAACACATAAAATATGCTCACACTGTCATGCTCTTGCTTTGTAATATTAAGTGCTTTATAATATTTTAACATAGAAATTAGTTTCTGCGTTTTTCTGTTTTCCAAAGTTGAGTATATAAATCCTGAATTCATATTTTTGTTATGAACATATTTTGTGCAATTGGAATAGAAGATCTGCTGGATTGTGCTTCATAGTATGGAAATCTTTGATAACCTTGGTTGGGCGAGATGTAGCGCAATTGATTAAGTACTGCAACATTAGCTTTCTGCAACTGTATTTGTACTTTGATATCACAGTAAAATTATTTCATACTACATATGAATAACCATAAGATAGAGTACAGTTTGCTGATAAGGATGAGCATGGAGGACGTGAACAGTAGCAGAATTTGGAGCTGAGAGATAAATGATTTTGTCATATAAATCAGAAGTTATAAATGCTATTTTGAAGGAAATCACTAGTTGGGATAGGAATGAGAAGTCCTAAGATGAAGTTTGAAAAATAAGATATTATTCTGCATTTAGGATTATATTGACTCCATAAAAAGCTTCGTGGAACTCCCATTGATTTAATTAGGGATAAGGGAAAGTGAGATGTTTTACAGTTTGAAATAATAGTTTGCTTTTACATTGTGTTCTACCTTTATAAGGTAAAAGAACGGATTTCTCCTACAATGTTATTAGGAACCTTTGTAAGGTATAGGCAAAAATGAATTATTCAGCATAAGCTGTTGACTCCCGTGCTGTAAGATGGAGACTGGTGTGCAAATACATGGATCATGTGTTGAATGCTTACAATATTTTTAACAAGGCCTATACCCTGTGAAGCAACAGCACTGCCCATAACTACACATAGGAGCAATGTAAATAGCTTATCTATAATGACATAAAAGAAGTTTTATTGTTACACAGATAAGATGAGCTTCAGAGTTCACTGTGGTAAGGACATTTTCTGCTGGACACGGACAATGTCAAAAACCAAGTGAAAATCCAGTCAAACTGCCAGGTTTCAAGAAAAGATTAAGTAATATTTTCAGTGTGGAAACCTACTTGTAAAAGTGGTAGGTATCTTAAATAGTAATCAGAAAAAGGCAAAAAATTTAAAACATTTAAATGTAATTTTCAATAAAAGCTTCATGTTCTGTAGGGACATTTGGAATCTCAGTTGTATCTAGGACCTCATATTTAAGTTCGTTTTAACAGATTCAGTCTTTTTTTGTCTTTTTTTTTTTTTCTTTTGTTATTGTTCAAAAGCCCTGTTCTCTTCCCACCTGCCTTTCATTGCCTTTCCTATAAAAGAAAGGAAGGTACAATTCCAGGGATTTTAATATGGGCCTGTGTATACCACAGATTATGTAAGACTATTTTTTCCTGTTGATTAAATGGCATTTCGTGAGCATGTGGGGCTTGCTGTACAAAGGTATTTTGCAAATAATAGAGAATTGGCAACTGCCTGCACAAAGAACTTTTATTATTACATAGTTATTCAAAGTTCCCTATTAAAATGATACCAGAATTCTGGATGATTCTGGAATTTGCCATGGTTACTGTATCATTTACAGTATTAAGGCTTGCAAGAAACCCTGGGCTATATTATCTGAATATGAGAGGAATACAGGTAATTTTAAATACTTTTTGAAACCAAGTTCCATGAGCTTTTCTGTGAGTGCTGCTGACAGCAGACATCTGTGTTCTGTAAACTGAACATTGCCTTGTGTAGTTCATAGAATCATAGAATGGTTTAGGTTGGGAAGGACCTTGAAGATCATCGAGTTCCACCCCCCCTGCCATAGGCAGGGACACCTCCCACGAGACTAGGTTACCCAAGGCCACGTCCAGCCTGGCCTTGAACACCTCCAGGGATGGGGCCTCAACAACCTCTCTGGACAACATGTTCCAGTGCCTTACCACCCTTAAAGTGAAAAACTTCATTCTAATGATTAGTCTAAACCTGCCCTCTTCCAGTTTGTAGCCATTCCCCCTCATCCTATCACTACATGCCCTAGTAAAAAGTCCTTCCCCAGCTCTCCTGTAGGTCCCCTTTAGGTACTGGAAGGCTTCAATAAGATCTCCCCGGAGCCTTCTCTTCTCCAGGCTGAACAGTCCCAACTCTCTCAGCCTCT